TTGTTAAAGACAGGGGTCTCACTCTTGCTCAGGCTGGTCTCAAACTCCGGAGCTCAGGCAATCTGACCGCATTTGCCTCCCAGAGTGCTAGGATTACAGGTGTGAGTCACTGCACCCGGCCAGAGGTGAGTAAATCTTGTTAAGTGAATTTAAAGTGCTTTGAAAGGCTTGGCACCTGTAGCTCAGCAGCTAGGGCACCAGTCACATACATTTAGAGCTGTTGGGTTCGGGTTCGAATCCAGCCTGGGACACCCAAACAACAATGACAACTAAGCTATTTTGAAAAACAAAGTTCCTTACAAATGTCAAGTATTGTTTTTAATTCCCCCATAGTATCTAGTAATGAACCTTGTATTTGCATACTGCCAAGAGAAACTGAATGTTTGAATATTCTACAGTCATCCAGATGAAGACCAAAAGAGGTCTTGTGCAGGAATAATAAGGCTTATTTTAGTTTTACACAAAATTTCTTCTTTGTTCTCACCAGGATCAAGATGACTACGGCCACCCCTTTGGGGGACACCGTTACCACCTTCATCTCACTGAACATGACCACCAGGGGCGAAGACTTTCTGTATAAGAGTAAGGTCACCTGGGTTTGGAGGCTGAGGGGAGGGATGGCAGGACACGTGTCACGGTTAGCTCCCAGTGCAGAGGTCGAGAGCATGGGCTCTGAAGACAGAGTGCCTGAGTCTCAGGCCAAGTTCTGCTGGGGGACCCTGAGCAGATGACTTCTCTGCTGTGTGCCTTCATTACCTCATCTACAAGATAGGGATATTGATGAAGCTACTACCCTAAGGGATTTGCGAGGACTATAAGCAATAATTCAAAGGGCAAGCTTAGAATAGCCCCCAGTGCATACTTAGCACTTAAAGCTTATTATTAATTACTACTACCATTATTACTATTGTTTTTATTAGGTGTAGAGAACAATGGAGATTTGAACCTCTCGTAAGATGTTCTTAGATGGGTCATGTTAAAATGTAGTTACCTTCAGGCCAGGTGTGGTGGCCTCTCATCCCAGCACTTTGGGAGGCTGAAATGGGACAATTCTTTAAGTCAAGGAGTTTGAGACCTGCTCTGGCAAGATAGCAGACTCGGTCTCGACAAAAACAAACAAAAATTAGCCAGGCATAGTGGTGTGCCCTGTAGTCTCAATTACCTGGGAGGCTGAGGCAGGAGGAACTTTTGAGCCCAAGAGTTCATAGTTACAGTGAGCTATGATTGCTCCACTACACTCTAGCCTGAATGACAGAGCAAGACCCGGTCTCTAAAAAAAATAAAATAAAACAAAAATGTTGCTACTGTTATCCTACTTTTGCAAAGTAAAAACATCTCATCAATTTATGAAGGAGTAAGTGAATGTGGGTGGGAAGAGTTAGTCATGGGGAGACATTTGCCAGGAACAAGAGGTCCCCAGAAAGAAATATTTGAAGCTAGTTCTTCAGAGAACCAGCTGACTGTATAAGAAGTAATCTCAGCACCTGTGGCTCAAAGGAGTAGGGCGCCGGCCCCAAATACTGGAGGTGGCAGGTTCAAACCCAGCCCCGGCCAAAAACTGCAAAAAAAAAAAAAAAAAAGAGAGAGAGAAGTAATTTCAGCCATTTCAGTTGGTTGTGTGGAACAGATTCCCTACACACATGGAGAATGTCCCACTATGATAAACAGTGTCCGGCTGTGGAGCTGCAGGGGGCTGTATTAATGCCAGGATGTCTCTCCTGCAGAGATGCAGAAGGGTCACTCTCAGGACAGGGTCCCATGGGTCACCCTGCTCCTTGCTGTGGGGGCAGACCTACCAGGGCCTGGTGACGTCTGTCTCAAAACAGTTCTGAGGAGAAATGCGGGGTAGAGAGATCACTCTGTCAGCAAGATGAGAAGAATTCTGTTTCTATTTAAATTAAAGCAGTGGTTTTCAACTAGGCAATTTTATTTTCTTTTTTAAAAATATGGACTGCTTCACAACTTTGCATGTCATCAGTGCACTCAACGAGGCAATTTTGCCTTCCTAGATAGAGTTACTACATCTAACAAATAAAAATACAGGACACCCAGTTAAATTTGAATTTGAGATAAACAAATAATTTTTTAAGCTGTAATGCGTAATTTTTTTTTCTAATGTGTGATTTTTTTAGCATAGGTATGCAGTACTTGAGATGTACTCATACTGGAAATTTATTCATTATTTGTTAGAAATTCTGATATAAATGGGTGTCCTATATTTTATCAGGCAATTCTACCACCAGGGATCCCTTGACAATGTCTGGAGATATTGTAGTTGTCCTAATTAGGGAGTGGGGACAGAGGAATGGCAGCTGGCATCCAGTAGGTAGAGGCCAGAGATGGGGCTGAGTGTTTTACAATGCACGGGACAGCTTCCCACATCAGAGAATTATCTAGCTGAGGTTAAAAATCTCGAACTAGGCTCCCCAAGAAGGAAAAAAACCAAGCTACTCTGTGATTGAATTTCTGCTTTTTCCTCTTTTTTTTTTTTTTTTTGTCCCAATCTTTCTTTCTATTAATATTTGCATATTTGCACATGGCTGTTTGTTTTTTGAGTAAATCTTTCTTTCTTTTTTTTTTTTTTGAGTCTCACTCTGTTGTCCTGGATAAAGAGCTGTGGTGTCATAGCTCACAGCAACCTCAAACTCCTGGGTTCAAGTAATCCTCTTGCCTTAGCCTCCCGAGGGGCTGGAACTATAGGTGCTGGCCACAACGCCCAGCTATTTTTTAGAAATGGAGTCTCACTCTTGCTCAGGCTGGTCCTGAACTCCAGACCTCAAGCAATCCACCTGCCTTGGCCTCCCAGAGTGCTAGGATTGCAGGCATGAGCCACTGTATCCGGCTTAAATAAACCTTTCACAAAGGCATTAATTACCTTCACAAAAGTACACAAATCACAAGTGCATCGCTGGGTACATTTTCATAAAGTGAACGCACTGGTGCAAACAGCCCCATATCAAAAAACAGACATCACCATTACCCCAGAGGTCCCAGTGTCTCTTCCGATCTCTCTCCTCCACCCACACAAAGGAATCCATTGGTCTGACGTCTACCACTGTAGATTAGTTCTACATGGTTTTGAACTTAATTTTTTTTTTAATTTTTTTTTGCAGTTTTTGGCCAGGGCTGCTTTTGAACCCGCCACTTCCCATATATGAGGCTGGTGCCCTACTCCTTGAGCCACAGGTGCTGCCTAGTTTTGAACATTATATAAATTGAAAAAGTACCAGAGGTACTCTTTTGTATCTGACTTTTTTTGCTCAACATTAGATTATATGCACATATTTTAATGGTCATAACAAATCATATACACATATATGGATGTATATATATATACTATATATATATATATAATGTTGTTTTCTATACTTTATATCATTACCTGTTCCCATATTACCATAATCTTCATAATCATTAATTATTATATACTATTTCACTGGATACGTTGCCATACCTTATTTAACCATTCCCGTATATAGAAGACTAATAATGTTATAATAAATGTCTTTATTTGCATAAACTGTTCTGTATTTAAGGTTATTCCCTTAAGATAAATTCCCCTAAACCAAACAGATTGGTTTAGAGTATGAACATTGTTATGGCTCTTGATATTTTCAATATCAATTCTGATAAGGACGTTGATCTTGAACCTGAAATTAGAGTTTGACATTGGCATAGGGAACTAATGTCAAGATTAGAGTTTGAGATAATAAGTTACAAGGACGTTCATCATAGCCTGTTTGTAGTAGGGAAAAATTGAAATCAACATAAATATTCTCAGTAAGTATTTGGTGAGCAGGTGATGGTACATCTAAGCAATGCAGCATGATGCAGCCATCAAAAGTCATGAAGGACAACATGCAATTACGTGCAGAGATGACTACTGGGGTTTTTGTTTTTGAGACACAGCCACAAGCTGTCCCCCTGGGTACAGTACCGTGGCATCATAGCTCACAGCAACCTCCAACTCCTGGGCTCAAGCGAGTCTCCTGCCTCAGCCTCCTAAGTAGCTGGGACCACAGGCACCCACCACAATGCCCAGCTATTTTTTGGTTGCAGCCGTCATTGTTGTTTGGCAGGCCTGGGCTGGATTCGAACCCTCCACCTTAGGTGTATGTGGCTGGTGTCTTAGCCGTTTGAGCCACAGGCGCTGAGCCAAAGATGAGTACTGTTATAAAACAGTCCCTGAAACATGGTTCCATGTTTGTTGAGTGCATATTTTTCCATATTTAGGAATATTTCCTGAAAGTGGATTTTCAGACATAGTATTAATAAATTATTCAAACAATATGATAGATATTTAATATGCATAAACATGATGGCATCAGTATACGTATGCGATGTAGATGATCAAGGGTTCCTGGGGCAATGAGGTTTTCATTCTCCTTCCTCCTTTTCTGCTTGCATTCATAATTTCAACATTATTTACAAAAATCATGTTACTTTTATCTTATCAAAAAGAGAGGAAGGTATTTTGTTGGTCTGCTTCACAGAAGCTTGAAGCTGTGCTGGGACTGGTAAGAATAGGATGTGGCCTAAGGCAAAATTTTGGCAGAGGATGGGCTGATAGCTCTTCAAGCCCAGTTGGGGGTAAGGAGTGCACAGACACTATCGATGTGACTCTGTCCTGGGGTCAGCAGTGAGTGAACCAGGATGTCACCCTCTCTCGTTGCCTTAACCCAGTGGGTTTGTCAGGTGCCCCCCCCAGGAGCCCAGGTCCGCACCTCAGTTTGCACCTTTGCCATGTCTGCTCCTTTCCTCTGCACAGGTTCTGGCGCCATCGTCGCCGCCATTGTGGTGGTCGTCATCATCATCTTCACCGTGGTTCTGATCCTGCTGAAGATGTACAACAGGTATGAGATGCCCTGGGCTTTGGAACTGTCTGGTCCTTTCAATGACATTAAAAAAAAAAAGGGAACTAACATTTGTGGGTGCCTGTTATGTGCCCAGCAGTATCTATGAGTCATTAGCAAATGCTGTACCCTTGTGGGTTCTTTTTGAAATCTGTTCTCCTGAAGGAACTTCTTCATAGTAACTAAATATTTTTGTACTTGGAGAGATTTTTTTTTTTTTGACCTGGAGAGATATTTTTTAAATGTGATAATGATATGATAAGGGCCTTAGACACTGTGGTAAACATCTGTAGGTAATTTACAGAAAACAGACAAATGTTGGAGTCTACTTTTCTCAGAGATGCCTCTGCTAAGTTGTATGAGCCGACCACATAAGCATTGTGTTGGTAAATACTGGAAGCACACGTACCCTCAACTCCACTTTCTGGGATCAAAAAAGGGGAAATAAAGTAATACAATGTTATCACATAAAGAATAAATCTTAGGTCAGGTGAGGTGGCTTACACCCGTAATCCTAGGACTCTGGGAGGTAGAGGTGGCTGAATTGCTTGAGCTCAGGAGTTCCCCTAGCTGGGCATTATGGCAGGTGCCTGTAGTCCAGCTACTGGGGAGGCTGAGACAAGAGGATTGCCTGAGCCTAAGAGTTTAAGGTTGCTATGAACTATGATGATGCCATGGTACTAAACCCCAGGGCGTCAAAGTGAGGCTCTGTCTCAAAACAAACAAACAAAAAGAATAAATCTTATGTGTTATCACCTCCACTCACAACTTTACTAGAAGATTATTTTTTTCAGAGAAGAAATCAAAATGAAAGGGCTATAAAAACAGGCATCATCGTCTCGGCACCTGTAGGTCAGTGGTTAGGCCACTGGCCCCATACACCAAGGCAGGAGAGTTCAAACCCGGCCCAGGGCAGCTAAACAACAATGACAACTGCAACAAAAAAATAGCCGGGCGTAGTGGTGGGCACCTGTAGTCCCAGCTAGTCGAGAGGCTGAGAAAAAGAGAATTGCTTAAGTCCAAGAGTTTGAGATTGCTGTGAGCTGTGACGCCACAGCACTCTACCTAGGGTGACATAGTGAGACTATTTTTTAAAAAAAGGCATCATAGAAGACCCAAAGCCATTAAAAAATATATATTATAGAAGTATATTTACTGACGAGGAATGCTGTTTACAATACATTGTCAAAGTTTACGAAACAGTGTATTCATGATGATCATACACATGGGTTACACATGTACCCATGGAAAGTTAACACAGCAAGTTGTTACCAGTGAGTATGTCAGCATGATGGGGTTGTTAGAGAATTAGTATGTTTTTGTTGGGAGGGGGATGTTCCTTATTTTCACAAACTAGTAAATATGCATGGTTTTTATAATAATGCAAATATTATTTACATAGGTAGCTAAAATATATGATCTCATACCATGTGCCATGCATGGTTCTAAGCTCTTTACGTATATTAACTCATTCAGTCCTCACAACAACCCCACAAGGTACAACTATCATCCTCAATTTTTTTTTTTTTTTTGAGACAGAGTATCACTTTCTTGTGCAACCTCAAACTCTTGGGCTCAAGAGGATCCTCTTGCCTCAGCCTCCTAAGTAGATGAGACTATAGGCACCCGCCACAACGCCCGGCTGTTTTTAGAGACGGGGTATTGCTCTTGCTCAGGCTGGTCTATTATCCTCAATTTTATAGGCGTGGAAACAGGTACAGAAAGATTAAGTCACAGGCACAAGATTGCTCAGCCCTAACTGGCAGAGTTCGGATTCATATCCAGTCTATCTGGTATCAAAGAAAGTACTCCCACTGTTGCATATAATGCATTAAAAATTATTTTTTAAAATCTTTAGGCTATTATAATTTGGCTCTATCCCAAACCAGGAGGTGGCAACAAACCTCAGTGTCTACCCTTCATTCCTCTCCCATCATTACTAGAGCTCTGAACCCCTTTCTAGTTACAATCTGGCTGGAGACCTCACTCACCCCACGCTACTGATGCCTGGGCTGGGAAATTGGGGACCTGAATTCAGTCTTTAGTTTGTCAACACTAGGAAAGTTACTTAACCTCTCCCTGCTGCTATTTTGTCATTTTTAAAATGGAGAATGGCCTTGTTTTTTTAGAGTATTTAGGAGTGAAGTAGCATAATGTCTGCAACTAACTCATAAATGGTTCATGAGTTTAAAAAAAACATTGTGTGTCCATGCACATACAAGTGGTGGGGGTGGGAAAAGAAAAGAAAACAAATGAAGTAAATTGTTATCAATTGGTGAATTGTTTGGTGAAGAGCTATCTTAGGCTGTTTTGTGCTACCATAATATAATACCTAAGACTGGGTAATTTATAAAGAACAGAGATTTATTTCTTATAGTTCTAGAGGGTGGCAAGTCCAAGATCAAGGGGCTGCCCTTCTAGCTCTAGCATCCTGAGGCAGAAGGACAGAGAGAGAATGAGAGAGAACAAGAGATCAAACTTACAGCCTCAAGTCCTTTTATAATAGGCATTGATCCATTCACCAAGGTGGAGCCCTTGTGACCTAAACACCTCCCATAAGACCCTTCCTCCCAACACTGTTACGCTAGGGATTAAGTTTCCAACACATGCTTTATATGGGACACATTCAAACTATAACAAGTACAATTAGATTATTAATTGTACTATATATGCAACTTCTCTGAGGATTTGAAGTTTGTTTGTTTTTTTGAGACAGAGCCTCAAGCTGTCCCCCTGGGTAGAGTGCTGTGGCATTACAGCTTACAGCAACCTCCAACTCCTGGGCTCAAGCGAGTCTCCT